GTGAGGGCCGGGTCCTCGCTCGGCTGGGGGACTGGGTCTTCTGTCCTGGCTGGTCCAGGGCTCCGGGTGCCAGGTCAGCTTTGAGACCTCAGGGTGGGCTGCAACCCCCCCGCGGCTCACGGGCTCATCCCAGAGGCCCTGTCCCATCCACTTGGATGGGACTCGGGCACTGGTGGGAGAGGAGGGGGAGCCCGGGCTGCGGGCCCGTGGCGAGATGGGGCGTGGCCACCATCAGGTGGGTCACTGGCAAGCAACCCAGTCTGCGGGTCCAGGCCACCTGCCTCTGTCTCATGTCCCCCTTGACGGGGCTTCCAACCCCCGTGACCCTGGGCTCCCGAGCCGCCTGCATTGCAGGGGTCAGCACACAGTGGGTCAAATCTGCTGGACCCCATCTCAGCTTCCCACCAGCTTCTGCCAGGTGCAATGGGGGCTGTCATCCTCAGAGCCCGCCGAGCACCTGGGCCAGCTTGGCGCCCGTGGGTGGAGCAGGCGGGAGCCGGGCACTGGCCCAGAGCAGCCAGCCGAGGCCTGGGCCGGCGCACCCAGGGAGCACGGGACTCAGGGCCAGGGGTGGTGACGTAGGACCTCCCGGGAGGACCTGTTGGCTGCGGCTGCCTCATCTTGCCAGGCTGACACCCTACCCTTTCCAGCTGATCCTGCCCAGCGGGCCATTTCCGGGCCTGGAGGACCCCGCTGCCTCACTCCCCGGCACCCCACTTCTCGTCAGCTACCAGGTGAGCTGGGGCCATGGGACCCGGGCAGCCCCCGCACGGCCAGCCCCCGGCCGGCCTGGAAGCAGGGAGGACCGGTGTCCCAGATGGGAAGGCGGGCCCTGCCCCGGGGAGGCTGGCGCGCCGGCGGGGTCGGTGGGTCGGGACCGGCCGCCCTCCAGCTTGCACTGTGGCCCCAAGGCACAGAGTCAGCCCGAGGAGGAGGAGGAGGCGGAGGAGGAGGAGGCTGAGGAGCTGGGCCACGCGGAGACCTACGCGGACTACGTGCCATCCAAGTGTGAGTCCTGCCTCCCGGCCTGGACGCGTTCTGTGCGAGCCTGGACCCTGGCGGCCATGGCCGGCCTGCACAGCCCCAGGGAGGGCGTCCCAGAAGGGCGGGGCCTGGGGACACAGGTACCGTCCACGTGTCCAAAACCAGAGGCCGCAGCCGTGGGGAAGGAACCCCAGGTCCCCGCTGGAGGATCTGGGGGAGCTTTCCCTTGCCCCGTCCGTTCGCCGCCCCGGCCACGCCCCGGCCATGCCCTCTGCCACGCCACTTCCTCCTGCCCCTCCCCTCCAGCTAAGATTGGCAGGCAGCACCCCGACCGGGTGGTGGAGACCAGCACGCTGTCCAGCGTCCCGCCCCCAGACATCAGCTACACGCTGGCCCTGCCTTCGGACGGCGGGGCCCTGTCTGCCCTGCAGCTGGAGGCCATCACCTACGCCTGCCAGGTGACGCCCCGCCCCCTG